TGGTTGGAAAATAAGGGGGGAGTGCTGTGGTGTTATGGCTAACTTACTCAAACAAAAGAACAAGAAAATTGACATCATAGTTGAGTTATAAAAAGTGTAGGATGTACATTGTATGAATTAGTTGAGCCCTATTAAGCAGAATTTCGTTTCGACAACAGCTACATAATAATTATCTTCTGGATGTTCCAAAGAAAGGTAGATTCACTTTTTCACCACCGCTATCCCAACACATAAAGATATAGGTTTTTTCTGTTTTGACCAGCATAGTATACTGTTTACTATCTAGAATAGAAAAGAACAAGACAACATAGTAGTTTGGTAAATAGAGAAACATTTTACACTGCGTTTAATCTAAGTTAGGCAAATTTACTCCAACAGCAAATTGCTACTAATCTCAGCGTATTGATAGGGTCTATTACTATTTTATCGTATTCTTGACTATTTTTCAACTACATTAGATAGAGATATTTTTCTTTTGAACATCGAAGAAAAAATTAAAAGTAAACCACAATTCTTTCCCTTGTTACGGACACCTTGCGATTCCCAGCTCTTAAAAATTCCGGTCGAATCTAAACTAAATCACCAATTACACTGGCGCCCAATTTATGACAGACACCAGACTTCAAGCGTGATGCGATGGAGAAGAAGAAGAACTGGTTTTGAACGTTAGCAAAAAAAAAGTCGGAACTAATTTAAAGCTCCAATAAATAATCCTGCACTCTTCAGAATGTCAAGTTTAGAAACGATTAAACAGAGTTTAGAATGTCAAGTTTATATTTTTATAGAGGCATGCATTTCAAACAAGTCGGTTTGGCTTTGGGGAACAATCCATACAACTATTTTTGGATTCTCGCAACATTGTTGGGAGATTATCGTTCTATTTCAAATCCTGTGCACGACACGACCCTCCGGAGTCCTCCGCTGGGAGACGCGAGATTTTCTGGAGATTTTTGTGTAAACTCCTTGTCATTCAATTGAGCGACTCCGTGTTATGTCTCTGTCTGTCTGTCTGTCTACTGTCTGTCTGTCTGTGTGTCTATCTGTCTGTCTGTCTGTCTGTATGTCTGTCTGTCTGTCTGTCTGTCTGTCTCTGCTCGTTGTCTTTCTCTCCCTCCCTCTCTCTCTCTTCCACCTCTCTCTCTCTCTCTCTCCTCTCTCTCCCTTCGTTGTGTGTATCTTTCTCTTTCTCTCACTCTCTTTGTTTCTCTTCCCCCCCCCTCCTCTCTCACACTCTCTTTATTGTGTTTATCTCTTTCTCTCACACCCTTTCTTCGTTTGGTTTGTCTCTTTCTCTCTCACCTCTCTCTCTCTTTCTCTTTCTCTCTCTCCTATCTCTCTCTCTTCCTTGTGTTTCTCTCTCTCCCCCCCT